CTGTAAAAACACTGACTCCCGTATTAATCCCCGAGTCCTTCCTGGGGGGTCTGTCCCACATGGACGGTATCGAGGAATCTATTCTACAACGCAGCGAACATTGGGTTTTGGCTTGTGAGCGGGTTGAGGTGAACTTACTTCTTGCTCAGACTCCTGTATTAGGGGTGGATTCGCTGAAGAAGGTTGGTTCTATCCAAAGAGGCCCTTCGGCGACGGCAAGGACCAGCAACAGTTCCCAACAGGTGTAATTAGCACTTACTTGACTCTCTACTTTTCTTGCGCCTGATCTTCGTACTTTCAGAAAGAACAGTGGCCATTCCACATGTCCAGTTGGTCTTGTGCCACATTATCATTAAGGTCCCAGGTATTGGCACTGGATAGTAGAGTCCTGAGCATAAGAATTTCAAAGCAGGGAGAGCACTTTCAACAAAACAGGGCTCACCCCAGAAGACTTCCCCTCCAATAAAGTCCTTGAGACCCTACAGAAACGTACAACATACAAGCATTTAGAATCCTTACAAGGCTCGACACAAAATCCTACACATCCTGTCCCAGGGTTTCTGCAGGCGCAAGGTCTCTTCGAGAAGGTCATGCCCTCCAAGAAGACCGGGCTGTCACTGTTGCAGGCTGGCAGCTGCGTAGCGACCTGCGCTTTGGGTAGGACAGAGAAGTGGATAGATAGATGGATATGTGTGCGTACATATTCGTTGTGTGGTTCCTGGGTGGTTGGCCACCCTACGGCCTCGTTTGTGTGAGCCGTTCAAAAGTACATGCTGAATATGGCACACTGCACTGGGGTGGCCTGAAGAGCGCAACTATGATTTTGACAGCCGCCCTCCTGTGCCAGGGATTACTTTTTTCTTTTCTGGCATAGTGTACGTAGGTCGAGTGCTTCCGTGCCCGAAAACCCCTTAGCCCGGTCTCCAACATCTCGACTCATGCTGCGGTGATGCACACTGTGCATTTTTCACACGGTGGTGTGCTTTGAAGATCGAATTCATGATTAGTCCTTCCTAGACTTCCCAAATACCCCCAACCAATGGCCTTTAACCAACGAAGAATCGATGTAACGGGTCTAGGTTGAGGTTTGTTCAACATGCGCAGGTGGCTTCCAGCTCCCTGGGCGGTGAGGGCACCGAGAAGGCCGTGGAAGGCCTTCGAGGCAGGGAGTGCCAAAGGCTGCTCTGTTTACTCACTGGCAGTTGGGCTTTAGGGTTAGGAGGGAATAAAGGAATATAATTTACTGGTGTTATATAGGCATTATGTTCCCTCGTTACTTGCTAGCCACCAGCAATTAAGACTGTCTGGGGTCAAAGTTTTCAGCTGCTTGAGGAGCTGCGGGGTATGCGGAGATACACAGAGGAAGTCACGTTAACAGGAACACCTTCCGTCCGGCTGGATGCATTAGGGTTTGGGGTTCAGGGATGAGGGTTTAGAGTCAAAGGGGAAGATAATGTTATCGGGACATTTGAATGCTGAATCCTGAGCCTGAACTTGTGCAGTCTCAGGCAATCTCCCCTGTTCAAGATCTAGGGCCCTTGTGCCATACCAAGAGGTAATTTTCACAGTTGGTGTTCCGCCCTGTCCCAAGTGCCAGGGAGCACTCGTTGCGTTCCCATTGAGAACATGAGCATCCCTAAGCATGCAAATAGCACATTGTAGGTAATGTTTATAGACTTTGGGGCCCAATGTCGGTATTATTTCTATACATGGATCCCCAGGGTATTAATGCAATAAGACAGGTAAGAACAAGCAACTGCAAGGGCCATCAGACGTCCAGGTGGCTCTCGACGTTGATTTACGAACAAGAATTAGCTGAGGATGTCGTCTGGAAGTTTGGAGCATCACCAACGTAGGTTCCACGCCAATGTTATCCAGCAGAGCAAGTTTAATGCCGTAATCCCTGTATATGAACCATTATACTAGTTTCCATTTTCTTGGCCATTATCCCTATATAACCCCAATATATACCCTATAATCCCTAGGGCTTGGGGTTCATGCTTTGGCTTTGCCAGGCTCCCAAGACTCCCGCGTGGCATTGCTGGCGCTGGCTATGCTCCTTATCAGCATCACTGGATAGACGTGACTCACAACGGGCTCCTGAACAGAGATGTTTGGACTGCAACTGGGATCTAAACCCTAAACCCTAATTACTTACTTTCATATTACATAGAAGCGCCTGAACTTGGTCCAGGCTGTGAGAGCCTACTGGTTCTGGCTACACACTGCTTAGGCTCTGCAAAAGCGGATGATAGAGCCCATGTTTAGGGTTTAGGGTTTAGGGTTGAGGGTTGAGGATCCCATGTGGGGGTTTCCCAAAATTAGGGGTACCTTTTGGGGGGTCCCCATAACAAGGATTATAGTATTTTGGGCTCCATATTGGGTCCCCTTATTTTGGGAAATTACCATGTTTGAGGTTTAGGTGGGGAATTTGTGTGTTGGCCCAAGTTGGTTGGTAGGATTTGTTGGGTTCTTTCGTTTTTTTCTTCCAGTCTCTTGATTTGGCGGAGTGGTTGGCATGTGGGCATGGGCCAGTAGAAGGCTTGCGTTGGAATGGAGGACCCTCCTTCTGACTTACAGATGGTCTCTTTGCATTCATGAAACAATTCTGCAATCGATGGGATGAAAATGGAACATCCGCATGAAGTTTGGAGCCAGAAGGTGCAAAGAATTGCAGAAGAATATCGTGCAAGCTGGGATGTCGCTCAAAATTGTTCACCTCAATTTGGCTTCCATGAGATGAGACAATCCAGGGTTGAAGCAACGCTTGAGAGATCAGGCGGTCTGGAAAGATCGACTTCAAGAAGGTCCAGGCCAAAGTCTCCGTGACTTGGCACGGCATTCAGCATGCTGAGTCCTGGTTAGCGCCATCCTGGCCATCTTCGGCGGCTTAAGCCTTCCCTTCGTTTTAGATCTGCCCATCCCGTCATATTACGCAGTTCCCCCGATTTTCGACAAAGGCACCAGGCAGCACCAAGATGCGAGTGTGGAGTAACACGGTGGTGAGGGTGCATTTTAACAGGAGGAGGGAGTACACTTGTGCCGCAAGGTGCCCTCAATCCCAGGCGAGCACTTGAGGTAAGATGACCAATGGAGAAGCCTAAATCATGTCCAAAAGTATGGTTGATTCTAGAGTCATTGTATAAATACGGTATAGAGAGCGTCAAAGAGACCTCAACATGCTAGTGGCAATGATTTAGGAGCCGCCGCAGTACGGAATCCAACTTTGGAATGCAGGGCAGGGCGATTTGCACATTGAGATCTCGTCAGTCATCATCCTTTCACCGTAAATGGTAAACGGTAAATGCACCGTATTTTACACAATGTCTTCCTGGACACTGGAGTCTTGAGGCATGCATGCCCACGTGAAAGTGTTCGGTTCTTTCTCCGTGTTCCATTACATTCGTTCATCTCCTGTGGCATTATCAAGGTCAGCGCTTCCTTTGTCATTTACGGCTTTTCCGTTCACCGCATGAGGCTCACCTGCTGATCCAGTACCTTTAAAAGCCCTCCTGATACCAAATAGAGCCCTCCCCTGTTCTTTATTGTGTTCCCTGTGTTCCCAGGGCAAGTACCGCCATTTTGAGAAGTTCCCAGGAGATGATCGATATCCTGAAGAAGGAGCAGAAGGACGAGGATAAGAAGCTGGACTGGTGCAAGGCGGGTACATTTACAATTCTGTGTGCTGGAGTAGCCAGGTAAAGCTTGGCAGTCTTACCCATACTGATTTAGGATTTAAGTTTCACGCTTACTTGTTACTTCGCCTACAAGACTCGGAACGATCGCCATTATCGCCTGGTCCAGTTGTTGGCTCTATCCTCAAGCTCCCTAGGCTTCTGGGACTTTCCCAAAGTTATGAGTACTTTTGGGGGGGTCCCCAAAATAAGGATTATAGTATTTTGGGGTCTTGATTGGGGTCCCCCTATTCTGGAAAACTACATTTTATAGTTCTAAGCGAAGCTCGCAGCTTCGGCTATGACATGAGGTTTTTGAAGGCTGGGAATGAGAATGCAAGCACGATAACAGCAATGAGGGAGTAGTCTTACGCGAGGGATCCAAAAAATGCCCAATGTCGGTAATCTTTGTAGACTGTAGGGCAGAACGTAGGTATAATACTTGGATCCCCAGGGTTAGTGGTAAGATTTGGACAGGACTCACTTGAGTCTGTTAACAAAATCATGTACTGTGGACAGTGGACGAAACCAGGCTGCAGCATCCCCAGCAAAACTGGCAGTCACCAGTCCGCCTTTTCAGGCTTCAAGAACATGCCTCCATCGCCGTTTCTGGGTCAAAGCTGGTCTAGCATAGACAAGAAACAGTTTCGCACAAAGTCTAAGCAACAACTGAATCACAGCTGGTTGTTCAAAGGGACAGGACTCTTCCCAAAAGGTGCTGTAGCCGCAATGGCTTTGGACGAGGTGGCGCCGCCTCCAGCGCCTTCTCCTCCAAGGCGCGAGGAGTGCGCAGAGGCGGTGATCAAGCATCCCAAGAAGTGCCGCTTCTTCTGTGAGCCTGCAGGGCCCTGGTGTTCCTTCTCCATCCGCCTGAAGGTGTGGCCCATGGGGAAACATCGGAGCTACACCTCAGACGCAGGCTCGACTTCAGAGGAGTCCTCGCAGTGGGAGGACTGTTTGGCCGCAGTTGTGCAGGTGCTGCCTCCCAGGAATTGCCCAAACAAGTGGGTTTGCCCTGATGTGGAGGTGGAACTGGAGGTACGCAACTTCAAAGACGAGTCGCTGCATGTCCGCAGGCTGTGGAAGAAGACCTTCTGTGAGAAGTCGAGCTCTGTTGGTGCTCGCCCTTTGCTGCCGAGCCGTCATTTGACAGCCGATGAGGGCTGGTGCAATGCGGACGACGAGCTGTTCGTGACAGCAAAGGCCCGGTTCCAGGCGGCCCCCGACCCCTTGCACACGATGCTGTTTGCCAAGCTTGACTTTTCAGAGGAGGCGTCACAAGTCGTCTTCAAATTGAAGGAGGAGCCTTTGCTCTTTTTCGACAAGCGCATTTTGGTAGCTCGATCCGAATACTTCAAGACGATGTTCGAGTCGCAATCCTGGTTGGAAGGGCGAACCAACGAGGTCGACTTGAGTAAAGACCCGCTGGCTGATCGGCGCACGATACTCGCCATGTTCAGGTATCTCATGTCCAACACTTTCTCTGCCGCTGGGGATTTCACTTGGGCCCTTTCGGTCCGACAGTTTGCCGACCGGTATGGAATGGCCGACTTTGTGGAACGGATCGATTCGGAGCTGATTGGCCTGGTGTCGCGGGACAACCTTCTGGTTTTCTTGGGCCACGTGCATGGAAAGGGCGGGCAGTTGGAAAGCTTCTGCCTGGAGGTCCTTAAGGAGAAGACACATTCCGTCATCGACCGGCACAAGAGTAAGTTGGATCAACTGTTGCAGGAGAAGCCTGAGTTGGCAAAGACAGTAATCCTGCACCTGATGCAGCGTGATAACAAGGAGTCGAGAAAGCGGAGTCGTTCCCGCCGTAGGTCGCGCGAGTCTCGGCGGCGCTGACGTAGAAGCATGGCCTGATGGAGTTCCTAGAGCGGTTCTCACATCAGGGCCCTTGGGAGGATTCTGCGATGGTTTGCGGAGAGTCAGGAGGTCATAGATTACCATGCAGTAGAAAAATATATATGAGTCGCGGTCAAAATTACCGTTTACTTCATTTAGTCTAGGCGGTAGTTGTTGCGCAAAAATCCCCAAGATCGATAGGGTACGGCCTAAAACTATAGGCTTATTTCATTTAAGCGAGGGTTAAGAGAAGATCCCCAAAACGTGGAAATCG